AAAAAAAAAAGAAAAAAAAAAAAGAAAAGGGCGCCTGTAAACATTGCTGCTAGAAGGCCAAGAAAAAAACACAGAAGTTCAAAGAGATTTTGCTTTATTAAAAAGCAATTGCTCACAGCTTCTTAATGATTTTAAGGTCAGCAGTCGAGCTAAGTAAGTTTAATACCCAGTTTGATATCAGCCTGTTTCCCATCTGCAACAAGGACTTTTAACCCCACACATTGCCCACTGTGAGCATACAATTGGAATCTCCAAAAGCAACACAGGAAAAGGGAAAACACACAAAAGAGAAATGTAAAAAGCACTGGTTCTTAGAGGTATTAAAAAAAAAATTACTTGGATGCACAGAGACCTGTAAAACTTAAGCTGCAGCAAATCAACTACTTAAGGAAGATTTATTTTTAGTCTTTTAAAACAAGGTTTAATAACCAAAGTCTTTACTTTGTGGGAACTTTCTGTAACAGGAATATATTTAATGATGTTAACCAAGGCAGCAAACAGACCAAATCATTTAATGTAAGCAATTAATATTAGATTTATTCCATATTTCAGGTCTTCTCTTTCACTGCAGTACTTTCATATGTGCTATCTTCTCATGTAAAGTATGTGCATTTTTTCAATGCTAAATCAATGTAAGAGTTCCATGAAATATCCCCTTAAAAGCTGTAATTTTATTATTCCTTTTTATGTAAGGGCAAGAATGATTAAAATATATGACCAACTTCTGAATATCACAGTTTAACACCACATTGCCCCTGCGTGGGGATGCTACATCTGCCATTGCCACACATGCCCACATTTAGAGCTGAAGGGATGCAAAGGCCTTTGTGTGTGAAGCCACAGTTCAACCTTTCCCAGGATAATGCTGAGCACCAAGTCATGCCAGCACCAGGCTGGAGCCATCTACAGTCACACAACCAGAAAGACTCAGCACGGAATTTTATATCCTTTATAGCGGAAGGATGTGCACACAGACGTAATGCAGACACATCCCAAGTCATCTACTTGTTCACCACCTGAAGGAGGAAAATCTTCATCTCCCCTGGCCAACTCTTCCCTCCCCACCCCATACCAATTTTACCAAAGCCATCTAAAACTCAGCAGTGCTAAAATCTCATGTAAGGGTAAAAGATACAGCACCAGAGTGTCAAACATCACAGTAAACTTCAGCTTCACACAGGGACTAAGTTTGTGCTTCCTTTGTCTTTGCCTAGGGCATGAGGTCTCATAAACCCACAGAGCTACCTGGCCTGACACGAAAGCAGGTGATCAATCATTTAAATACTTCACCAAATTTTTCATCAAAAAAATGCTTTTACATCAGAAACACATGGTTAATAAAAAAACCCAGATCAAATCTTCAAGCTTTTCTACAGTAACAGAATCAGTTTAATGTAACAAATGATGCCAAATTATGACAACCTGAATTTGAACACTGGCAATCAAATACTTTCACCTTATTTCATATTTTGTTTGGAGAAATACAACACAAGTAAGCAAGTCAAAATGCTGAAATAGGGCAGGAGTATAAAGAATATTGCCTTGATGTTTACATAGGTTTCTTCAAATAACTGTCTTTCAAGTAACTAAACAAAACAACCAGACGATCAATATCAAGCTGACCTTGTCAGCAAAATGATAAAGTCTCATAAAAGCTTACAGTTCCTGTAAGTGACCTTTCTGTAAGTGTCTTAATGCTCTCCTCCCTACAAGTAGCACTTTCTTTCTCTTTCCATCACCATTCTGTCATTGAAAGGTTTCACAAAATATGTAATAAAAATATTATAGGCAACTATAAACATATAAATACATGAAATAGGTATTTAGGCACTGAATAGCAGGTAATTCTGAACCATACCATAAAACAGATATCATATGCAGCGTACTATTGATTTTGTCAAAGAATACACTACTGATCACTTAAATTCCCAGTGAAACACTTCTGTAAATGCAAAAAAGTCAAAAAGCTCTATTGGTTGAGAAAATACCGCCTGAAGTAATGGGGCTAATATAGTTCTCTATATGGATTTTAATGTATGATTTATGCAAATTTCTAAATGTACATTGTACATGTTATTAGAAACTATTTT